AATAAATGGGACCTCCTGAAACTGAGAAGCTTCTGTAAGGCAAAGGAGCTTCTGTAAGACAAAACAGCAGTCCACAGAATGGGAAAAGATATTCACCAACTCCACATCTAACAGAGGGCTGATTTCCAAAATATACAAAGAACTCAAGAAGCTAGTCACCAAAATACCAAACAAGCCAACTAAAACGTGGGGTGCAGAACTAGAGAATTCTCAATAGAGGAATCTAAAAATGCCTGAAAGACACATAAGAAAGTGCTCAACATCCTTAGCCATCAGGGAAATGAAAATCAAAACAACTCTGTGATACCATCTTACATCAGCCAGAATGGCTTAAATGAAAACAACAATGACAGTGTCAAAAGCACTAAAGACATTTTATGCTGGAGGGGATGTGGAGACAGAGGAACACTCCTCCACTGCTGGTGGGAGTGCCAACTTGTACAGCCACTTTGGAAATCAGTATGGCGACTCCTCAAGAAAATGGGATTCAGTCTACCACAATTCCACTCTTAGGCATGTACCCAAAAGAAGCACATTCGTACAACAAGGACATCTGTTCAATGATGTTCACAAGCTTGTTTCTTAAATTTAAAAAAAGGAAAAAAATCTGATATTCAGACCACACATCAAGGACTGGACTCCCTAACTTATGAAAACTTTCTTCAGGAATAAGTGAAAGGAATGAAGAAAGGAAGGCAGCCAGCCAATTATGGAGTAGAACCATCAAGAAATCAAGAAGAAATTTATAGAAAAGTGAAATTGAAAAATGCCTCAAGTTAGGAACATCTCTGCATCGTTAAAAGTAAGTTATTTACAGAACAATACCAACAAAACAATCCTCAAAACATACATACATGCACACACATGCAGGCATGAGTGCAGACAGGAGCACACACAGGCACACATTCATGAATACATACTCAAAAAATTACAACATAGCACAGCAATAATTCTACAAATTTAGTTTATAAAAGTACTTGTATGTGTACCTTGAACATATTTTAGCATGACCATTTTATTATAGGTAAGCAAATGTGAAATTAAAGTTACATGTGTTTTTTGAGTTAACAAATATTCATAGGCAGTATTAAGATAGATGTAGGCATTTAATTATGAGCAAAACTGCCTGGTTTCCCTGGTTTACATTAAAGAAGATAATAAACACTGAAGTTGTAATAAACATTCTGTCAATTAGAATTTCAAAGTTTTGACATACAGAACTAGGTATTCTTATAAATTTTGCAAATATATCAAAACATAATACACATATTTGCCTTATGTGTTGCCCATGTTCTATAACAGGCCACACCCTCTTTTCTAATCCCTATGTACTTTTTCTTCTTTTTTAAAAGGTTTACCAACTCATAGAACTAAATATAGAGATGAACAGACCCATGAGCACCAAGCAGCAAGCTAGCTTTTAGTACCCTTTCAAGTTTCTTCCAAACATTCAGCTAACTGTAAGACTTGAAAGCCTGGACAGGAAATCCTCTGTAACCCTACAGTAAAGACTGAGAGCCATTCATTCCCCCAGTTCTCTCCCACTTGATGCTCATGCTTCCTTCTGGCTTGAATAAGAATGGCTCCCATAGATTGACTGTCTGAAAACTTAGTCATCAGGGAGGGGTACTACTTGAGAGGGATCAGGTGGTGTGGCCTTATTGGAGTTGGTGTGGCCCTGTTAGAGTGTGTCACTGGGAGTGGGCTTTGGGGTGTCAAAAGCCCAACCCAGGCCATCACTCTCTTGTCCTGATGTCTGTGAATCCAGATATAAAACTCTCAGCTATTTCTCCAGCACCATGATGTCTGCCCAAATGCCACCATGCTCCCTGCCATGCTGATGACGGAAAAAACCTCAGAAACTTTAAGCAAGCCCAAATTAAATGCTTTCTTTTATAACAGTTGCCATGGTAATGAAGTCTCTTCACAGCAACAGAACTCTGATTAAAACAATTACCTTTTTTTGATATTTCAATATTTCTCTTTACATGCCACAACCTAAAAGCAATAACTACTGCTAAAAACACCAAGTACAGAATATGGAGAAACAGAGCTCGTCAGTTCAACTGAAGAAGCTCCACCCCCACTGACTAGCATTCACGTTTCTGGAAGGTAATCATCAGTCTCAGCCAGCTTTGAAGCCTCCAAGTTACAACTGCTACATGCCTGTACCCACTGGTACAATAGTGGCACAAATGTTATAGGAATAACTAACCACTTTGCTTTTTTTTTTTAACACCTTACTCTTTTTTAACTGGACTAAAGTCCTGCTTCATGCAATGGAATCCATGCATGACACTAGACTGGTCATAAACCCTATGGAAAAACCTACTACTATTATCTGGCTAAATGCACAAAGCAATAAAATGACTGCTAATGACATACTGCTATACCCAGAGATCAATACATCTCTCAGGCCTCATCAGAGAAGCTTCTTGCAGTAGATGGTAATGAACATACAGAGCCACAAGTGGACAATGAACAGAAAGTTAAAAGAGTTTGGAGCACACAACTCTAAATGGAATGTTGTATCAAGGAGCAGGAATCTGTGTAGAAGAGAAAACAGAACATTGTAAAAGCCAGAAGTGGTGGGAACCTTCAAGGAAACAGTGTTTTCTAGACAACAGAATTGATGCACATATGATCGCAAATGGACTGTAATAGCATGCACAAGACCTATTCAAGTTCAAGACAGGCAAAACTCTCAGCATCAGAAAGACAAGTAGACACAGTCCCACCCTTATCCACAAGCTATCTGCAATTGTTAGCTCCTGGGAAAGGGGAAATTAGTTTTTTTCTAATGGAAATACACAGTTGTGAGCTGCCATGTGGGTGCTGGGATTTGAACCAGGTCCTCTGGAAGAACAGCCAGTGCTCTCAAATGCTGAGCCATCTCTCCAGCCCTGTTTAGTGTCTTTTTAATGAAAAACAGAATACAAAGTTGGGTGGGTATGGAGGTAGGGAAGATCTGGAAGTGGTAAGGGGAGGGAAAATATGATGAAAATATATGGTATGAAATTTCAAAAAATAAATAAAAACTTTTTAAAATTCAGTAACTTTAAAATATAGCAAAAAGCTCACAAACAGAACTGGGTTTATTTAACACCAAGATGCAAGGTCCCACTCACTCTGTGGAATGTCCATTAAACAAAAAAAAAAAAAAAAAGTCAGTCACATCAAAAAGGCCATACTGCATACTTACCTTCACCACAAGGTAAGAATTATTTCACTAAGCACATGTTATAGAAAACATTATCCTTCCCAATATAAGTGGTTTTTCCAAGTAAGTTCTTTTCCAAACCAAAAATTTAAATTCTTTGAACATACTTACATGCCTAAGAAGTAACTCTAGAATCCAATGTAAAAGTCCTATTGATGGATTCTTTCGTTGTTCTTTTATTAACTTATTCAAAAAATGTATGATATCTATTAGCAGTTTCTCATCTTCAGTGCAAGCAGGAAGTACTTGTAAAAACCTGTATTTTAGAAAAAGACAGTAATCATGATTTCTAGCTCTTCAAAATGTACAGGTAATCACTGTTTATCAAGTATGTTCAGTCAACACAAGCACATATTTTCTAAGATAATTATCCAGAGTACTGGGAAATGCACAGATGAAGTGAAGCCATTTGTCTCCCAAAACCTCAGTCATGGTAGAGAAAACAAGTGACGAAGTTAGTGATGAAAGAAAATGAAATGAAAATAAATCTGAGAGAAAAATGCAAACTCAACTGGGGCAGAGGCTCAGGGGTAAAACACCTGGCTCCCATGCATGACTCTAGGTTCATCCAATACTGCCAAAACTAAGATAGGAGCTTCAGGAAAAGTGCCAAAAGGCATGCCAGGGAGGAAAACATTCCCTCTTCTTGTGCATTTTCAAATTGGCAGTGTCAGGCTTCACTGATACGAATTACGATTTCAAACCCAAGTCTGACCAATTGGAGAAAAGAAAGTCAAGAAAGGAAACACACACACACACACACACACACACACACACACACACACACACACACACACCTCACACACACACACTTCTCACACACTTGAAAAATCTACACATCTGTTTCTACCCTCATTTTTCGGAAGTTTCTAGATTTTTGCAATATGCTGAAAGGAGGCTTAGGAAGAGAGTCTTTTTAGGGTTAGAATAACAGGAGACAAACCAACTTTCTGAGATTCTTCAACAAACACTGGTGTAAGATAGCAAGAAGGTTGATAAACAAGAAAATTTCTGTAGAATTAAAAAAAAAGATAAACCTTAGAAAATCATTTTTTAAAAGAGAGTCATGAAGAGAACTGATCTTCAGCAATATTGGTAACAGCTTATTTAAAAACACCCAAAGGAGCTTTATCAATATGTTGATGGAGTAGCACTATTTGCTGCCTTCACCATGAGTTCCATGATAGCAGGGGACATATTTGTTTTGCTTACTATTAAATTTCCTAGAAGGGCCTAGTACCTAGTAGGTAAGCAATTGCTTGCTAAATCACTAGGGGAAAAAAAAGACATCCCACATTAGTACTTCCCTTTTAAAAGTCAACACATCATGATGACAGAGGAAGTATGAACAAATAAAAAAGTCTTGAGAGAAACAGAAGAGAAGAAATTATATTTAAATAACTGGAGAGCTGTCACATGCAAATTCAGGATTAATTCTGAGTAAGTTTTAAGAACATACTAGCAGGTATAATTACAAAGAAATAGTTCAAAACGAGAACTAAGAGGTCAAAGTCCATAAATGGAGCAGTCATTCTTTAAAAGGTCCTCATGCCGGAGGTGCATGGCTGTTAACAGAAAGGGACTCACTGGGTACATGGCCAGACAAAAGCATCTCTGTGGGCTCTGGCATCCCCAATCTGCATTAATTAGGCTCCTAACACCAAAATCTGCAATGCTCAAGTCCTTTCTGTAGCACAGCAGTGTATTTGCATATAACCTATGCATATCCTCTCATGAATTGTAAATTGCCTCCACATTACTTTGGCAAGGCAATACAATGTAAATATCATGGATACCATTGTTACCCTGTATTGTTTAGGAAAACAGCAACATGGAAAAACATCTTTTCATCACAGATACTTCTTTGGGGGTTGGTGTTTATTTATATGTAGTGTGTGCAGATGCCCAGTAAGATTGAGAAGGGAATGGAATCTCCATAAACTGAAATTATACACAATTTTGAGCCAACCAATGAGCTTGCTGGAAAATGAGTTCCAGTCCTTTGCAAGAGCAGCAATTCTCTTAAACATTAAGCCATCTGATCAGCCAGTCTTTTTTTAGTATTTCAATCCACAGTTGGTTGATTGCACGGATATAGCAGATTCATAGCTATGGAACAAACATACACTATACTGTCCGTGTATGAGAAAAATATCATCATAAAAATGTGACACTCACTTATCACTGCTACTGTACAGTTTGAACTAGCCTGGAGGCTTCTATTGGTACACTGGAGGACCTCAGCTTCGGTGTGGTGTAGCATACAATTTTAATGCACAAAAGAAAATCTAGTGTCTACAATGAAGTCAAGATACATTAATGGCTTTTGCCATTTAACTTTTTGACAAACAGAATATATCAAATTTATTGAAACTACAAAGTTTATACATGCTTTAGTTGGCATACATAAAAAGAGTAGTCTGATAAAAACAGAGTACTAATGTACTGTGTTTGCCAATTTACCCTAGTATAATATCCCCACTGTGACCTATTTCAAGCAACAGTGTACTAGGGGGCTGTGAAATGCTGTACCAGTAGCACATGATACAAAAATGCTTCCTTAAAAGATCTATTACAAATAACACAAGAGCACAGACAATAGCAAAATGGAAAACAATTTAAAAAGTGACATTTTTGATCCAGCTGTGAAAAAAAGTGACATGTTTCAGGTTATTTACTTTTCATATAATTTAATTCATGTGTTAATAATATATGAAATTATACTTCATATAATTATTTTTTCATATATCTAATTTGAAAATACCATAAATCAAGCCACCAGCTCTTCAACAAAACTATCTCACTAGCTGATTGGGCACACCACCAGAGAGGCTTATTATTATCATAACCCTTAATGAACTAGAGAGTTCAAATTTACAAACTTATATGAACTATCATTTTGAAAATTATACGTTGTATCTATTCAGAAAGGTACACATTTACACTACTCATGTGCACAATAAAATGAAAACCTGCTTGCAAGGAGGGCTTTTTCTCAGTCCTGTTTCAAAGGTGGCCATTTGCTACCAGTTCAGCATATGAAATTTACAAACTGGAAGCTTTCCAATAACTACCAAAAGACAGCCACATGGCGATTAACTTTATGAAATTTGATCAAGAAGAAAAATGAAATCATTTACTTGGGAAGAAAATGTAAGCAAAACAAAACAGCCAGTAGCAGATATAACAAACCTATTTATCAATCTACTAATGTCTCAATTCATTTAAAAAATGGATAGGAATAATAAACATTCAGTATGGTTCATTCACATGGTATCCTGATTATTTACTTTTCTGAGATACACTTTTCTAAGCTAGGTTAATAAATAAAACTATTTTAAGTTTATAAATAATCCCTTCAGGAATGTCAGGACTAAGGTCATATTTTTCTCTTCTGTTATTATTTGTCATAGCTAACAAACTATCCTGGAGTTTTTCTTTCTATAAAAACCATTTCTTGCATGATAACAACTGTACAAATATATACTGTTCTCTTCAAAGGTTTGAAGATGATCCTAAACATACTTCATGTTATGTCTTTCAAACCAGGAACCTTAAACTTGCACTAACCTGTTTAGCACTGTGTGCCAAGCCAAGGATTTTAAGGTAACTCCACATGGACCAATGTCATCCTTGAAAGACAGTTTGTCATTCAAAAGATAAAAACTCATCCTAGTGATAGCAGCCCTCACATCCCTGTGGCCTCCAGCCTGAACAATGGAGTGAAGGCAGTCTTGAAGCCCACTTGTTGTGTATGTGATCTTCAGGGAAAGGATATCGTCTGTGGACAGCTGCAGTGTACCTGAAAATCTAAGCATAAAAGAAAGAAATTAAAAAAGGAACAATGTAAGATCAGGGTTATTTCTAATATAACCCTCTCTTCAAAAAAAAATTTTTTGTCTACATTTGCTTTTCCTTAAAGGTCACCTTATAGTTAAAAGAAAACTAATATATAACTCCATCAATGTCATAGTATTACATGAACATTCTAACTATGGATACTGACTTTTTCCTCCTTATGAATGACACTCTAACATAGGACATCTAGAAGTAGGAACAGTCTCAGGTACACTTATTGAGATTTACTTTAATGCCATGGCACCTTTAACTACAACTATTAACTGAATAAACACTATATAGTTTCTAAGATAGCATGGAATACAATCCTTTCTAGCTTTATGTAAGTTTTAGTAAGCATAGACCTAAAACAGTGAAAACATAATCTTAACTTAGAATCAGATGATAATGTCAAGTAAAAACAGCTTTTAATTTGCAGAAAAAGTGAAGCCTAAGTAATTCCATGTAATTATCTTAATACAACTACTTACTCTTGAACTTTAGCTGTAGAGGTCATTTCTTTCAATAGATTATCACTTCCATGATACCATGCCAGGTTCCAAGCTATTCTCAGCATATCTGACACAGGCTTCAAGGCCAAACACTGAGCGGATAATGGCAAAACTATTGAGTAAGGACTCACAGCATGATGGCCAGTCAGATAAACTGGTAGATGATACCTAAAGAAAAAGAATTCAAATAATTACAAACTTTAATTTCTTAAATAGGACTCAAATAATGAAACAGAAGTGAGAGCTAGTTTTGTGACTCCCATACTTCCTAACAATGGTAAATTCATCACATTTTACATAATATTTTAACTATTCTTTCACTCTCCTCCTCATTGTAAAATCCCTCATTACTCTTTCTTGATGAATGGTGATGTTCTATATATTAGGATTGTTGCAGACAAAGTCACTACTCCTTGAAGTCAGGAACAATGACTACAGCAAATTAAGTGTTAAAGGTGTTGGTTAAAATATGAAGGCTGTTTTTCTCACAAACAATGTTTGAAACCACCAATTCTCCATTTACATGGGTGTTGCTATAACACCCACTATACAGATGGACAAAATCATGCTCTCAGGGGAGCTACAGAATTGTCTTTAAACTTATCTTACATGAATTAAAAAGAAGTTTTAAATAAGTACTAGCAAAACATCTTTCAAGCCCATGCAAAACATATAAGTGAATTCAAGCATCAAACAGAAATATGAAAAATATTAAACTTATACTTAATATGATTAAATGAAAACTATAAAATATTACTTTATGAAATAACATATACAAGTCCTTCCAAGTTGAATAAAATAAACCAAATGTAAGAATGTACTATATCAATAATCTTCAAAAGCCAGCAAAAACAGGCTATGGTTATAGAAATTAACAGGGGTTACATTTTGGAGTAATAACAATTAACAAAGAAGAATGGAAGGGGTTTCTGGACTATAAGCAACAACTACATCTTTATCTTCATAGTATTTGCACGGGTATGTTTACTGAGGAAAAAAAATACAAGGGTTGTACATAAATTTCACATGTATTATACTAATTTCATATGTATTATACAAAAAGAAGAATGACTTGCATGTTTTCAAGTTCTACATAAACACAAATCAAATTCAGCACATGATCATGATTGTTCCCTGCATTTTTAAAAAAGGGAAAAATATTTCTAAGGCTTATTTTCAAATGGTTGAAAACACCATTCCTGATTTCAAGCTCTATTACACAGCTATAATCCTAAAAACAGCTTGGTATTGGCACAAAAATAGACAGGTAGACCAATGGAATTGAATTGAAAACCCTGATATTAATCCACATTCCTATGAACACCTGATTTTTGACAAAGAAGTTAAAGACTTCTTTGTCAAAATGGAATAAAGAAAGCATCTTCAACAAATGGTGCTGGCATAACAGGATGCTGGCATGTAGAAGACTGCAGATAGATCCATGTCTATTGCCATACACAAAACTTAAGTTCAAATGGATCAAAGACCTCAACATGAATCCAGCTACACTGACCCTCTTAGAAGAGAAAGTGGGAAATACCCTTGAATGAATTGATATAGGAGACCACTTCCTGAACATTACACCTGTAGCACAGACACTGGGATCAGCAATTAATAAATGGGACCTCCTGAAACTGAGAAGCTTCTGTAAGGCAAAGGACACAGTCAGCAAGACAAAATGGCAGCCCACAGAATGGGAAAAGATATTCACCAACCCCACTTCTGACAGAGGGCTGATCTCCAAAATATACAAAGAACTCAAGAAACTAGCCATCAGGGAAATGCAAATCAAAACAACTCTAAGACACGATCTTACTCCTGTCAGAATGGCTAAAATCAAAAACACCAATGATAGCTT